CGGCCCCCCAGCCCGGGCGCCCCCGGATCGGCGCGCGGAGGGAGGAGGGCGGGCCGGGCCGGCGGGCGGCGGACTATGAGGCGCCCACCATGGTGCGATGCGACCGCGGGCTGCAGATGCTGCTGACCACGGCTGGAGCCTTCGCCGCCTTCTCGCTCATGGCCATCGCCATCGGCACCGACTACTGGCTCTACTCCAGCGCGCACATCTGCAACGGAACCAACCTGACCATGGACGACGGCCCCCCGCCCCGCCGTGCCCGCGGCGACCTCACCCACTCGGGGCTGTGGAGGGTGTGCTGTATCGAAGGTAGGACCTCTCCCCTGGCACACGCGCACACACACAGACACACACGCAGGCACGCACACTGCCTGGGCGCGGGCCGAGTAGGACTGGGTGCGGCGCGGGCTCTGCGCGAGACACAAAGGAGCCGGAGCGGGTGGGTGGATCCCCGCGGGACCAGTTGTGCTCCGGCTCAGGTCCCCGGCTAGAGGGACCTTCCCAACACACCGAGCCCAAACTCTGCACTCGCACGCGCACACCTCCTCGCGCAGACACAATGAAACATCGAAACTCACGCGCGCGCTCGTGCTGAGCACCAGACCCAAGCGATCCCCAGAGGCCGCGCTGGAGCCCCAGGGGGAGGTGGAGGCAGGCGTGGGAGCGAGAGGAGGCTGGGGCTGGTGGGAGCGGGCGCTGGAGGAGGGGGAGGGGTTGCTTGGCAACCGGTGTCTGCGATTGCTATGGGAACTGGCCATCCTGGGGCGGGGCCGGCCGAGGGCGGGGAGCAACGGGGCCTTTAGGCGTCCCGCTTGGGTCCCAGCGGAGGGCTAGGGGCGGGAAGGGGCTGGGCTCCGAGTGCGTTTGGAGGAACCGAGTAGCCCCTGCCCGATGCCTGCCAGCGCTTCCGCGTGGTCACCGCCTCCCTCCGTCTGCGCCGCGATAGTGTGGGGGGAGCGACACACGTACCCCCCACTGAGGCAGTGAGCCCTGGGTCAGCAGACCCTGGTGGAAGCCTGCGGAGACCTCCTTCCCAGGAAGGTTGCCTTGCACAGGGCCACGGGTGGACCTGTCAAGGCTTGGGAGGGGTGTGGTCGCTCCGTGGGGCGTGCGCTGCGACCCCTAGACGCACTAGGCGGCCGTGTAGTCCGTGCAGTGAGGCTGCGATCCCTCCAGGTTCCCTCGGACTGTGGGGCTGGCGCCTCCCAGGTGCAGTTGCGCTCGGCCTCAGCGCCTCCTGGGGCGGCCCTAAGCCCAGCTGCGGAACTTGGACTAACAGGTGGCTGTAGAGGGACCGTGTAGTCCAGCCAGTTTGCCCACTGGTCTGCCGCTTGGTCTTCAGCAGTCACAGTAGGGACGAGTTGAAGGGAGAGTTGCTTTGATTTCTCAAAAATCTTTGGTCAGAGTTTCCGCTTTCTTTTCTGTCCCCTTTCTTGGCAGGTTCACCCCGCCCCCGGGGTTGTTTGGCAAGTTCTAGCATCCACCTCGCCTCCCTTAACTGCAGCTACAACCCTTCAACTAGCTCAGCCTGGAGGGTTGTGATGGCGGTGGCAGGGGGCTCCTAAACTAGCTCCCAGAGACGTGGCCTTCCCTCCTCCCCCACACATTTGAAGCTGTGTGAAAGGAAGCTCTGTAAGCTGCATTTGCCCAGCTAGGTCAAACTTGCTCCTGTTTTCTCCCCAAGAAGGCGCCTGGCCTCAGGTGGAGTCCTGCCCCTCTGTGTCCCCCGCGTAGGCCCCCAAGAGGGGCTGCGGTGCCCTTTGCATTTTGGAGCTTAATTCCAGGGCTACTCGGCGTCTTCAGTAACAGTAATAAATGTACGGTTGGGGAAACAGCTACACAAAGAAGCTGGGGGCTCACCAGCACACCCTCCTCTTTTCTTTCCGGAAAACGTCATTTCAGGTGTGCAGTTGCTCAGAGCACGAACACCTACACCTTCTCTGGAGGATGTGCCCACGTCACTACCTGCCACAGCACCTGAGTTAGATACAGAGCAGGGGCTGAGGGCCCCCGTTCCCCACCCCACAGGCCTCTCCGGGTGCCATCTGTGTGGCGCAGTAGGTCATGTCACTGCCATCCCCACCCCAAGAAATGCGTGGACTTGGAGCCTTAGAGGTTCCCAGGGGAAACTGGCGCTAGCCCTCCACGCTGGCAAGCCTGGCCTTCACAGGGACCTGAATGCCTCCTTTATTAATTCCTCACCCTAATTAGGATTGATGCTGCACTTAGCATCTTGCCAGCTGCCTCGAGCCATTTGCACTCGCTGCTCATCAAGAGAGCCTGAGCTGATCTGGGCAGCTGGCTCTGCTGGCGGATGGAGCTATCTGGGGGACCTGACCGGGTCTGCCTGTGTCATTCCTTAAAGCTCCCAGGATCCAGGGCTGGGAGAGCTAGTTTAAGCTTCCTTGTTGTGGCTCCAGTCATCACGACAGTCCCTACCTGGGTTGGAACTCTCAGCACACAACTCTGGAAGGTGGAGGCTGGCACCTCCCAGAGCTAGCTGATGGCTCCTACCATGCCTGGCAGCAAATGGCCAGAGCTGAAACCTAGACGCACATTAACCCAGCACTCCCCAGGGCAACAGGAAGGAGGCCTGCATGTTGGCTTTTATGTATGAAATGCATCATTTCCACCTGTTCCTTAGCAAAGCACCCCAAAATCGCTTCATCCAAACCAAAAAGGGGTGGGGGGCTCAAAGCCCTGCACTAAAACTGAAGAAACACTGCAGCAGGCAGCTAATGAGGCTTAGGGCGCAGCGCAGAACCCAGTGGGTTTGCTGGTAGCTCATTCCTAGGTGTGTGCTGTACATGATGGACTAACTCCCCCCACCTCTGTGTGCTCGGTATATCGTTGCAGCTGGGCTGGGATGTTGGCCCAGCCGTGTTCTGACTCCCAGGCTGCATCCCCTGACACACACCTCTCCATGGGACAAGTGTCAGATGACTCAGTGCCCGAGCCTCACCTGTGATACTGCCAACTGGGCTTACAGTGGCCCACACACCTGCAGATGAGGGGATGAGGCCCGGAGAGGTTCCAGGACTTGCCCAGAGGCTGCTGGGCCAGATTTGAGCCTCTCTCTCACTACAAAGCTCTTCCCACCCTGTCATCTTGCCCTTTCCCCAACAGCTTCTGGGTTGCCGTAAAAATAGCACCAAGCACTTGGCTACCCAGCGGAGCCCAGCCCTGAGTCTGGGCTGACGGCAGCATGAAGGCATTTGGAGGCGAGGATGTACACCTGGTGCAAAGTTGCATAACACACTCTTCTCTTCTGTCCCCTTCTTTCCCCTTCCCTGTTTCTCTGTCTCTCAGTTTCTCTGTGTCTCTGTCACTGTCCTTCCACTGTCTTCTGGACTACCCTGTCCCCACTGCAATCGGTCATCTGCTCCCCAACTTCTGAGACCCTCATTTCATTCTTTGTCTCTCTGGTGGCCCCCAACCAAGGACATAAAGAAAAGGGGTAATAGATCTGTCTTCCATCAAAAGCTTCATCAGGCAGCATTTGTTCCGCCTCTACAGTGTTCTAGAAATGGACAGAGTACACAACGTGAGTACACGTGGTGGTGTGGACTGTAGAGGGACAGAAGCCCCCAGGTGAACGTGGAGGTAGCAGGAGTCTCTAGGCCCAGAGGGACCCTACTTTGTCTCCGCTCTGGGCCAGACACTAGCAGGAGAAGGTTCTAGAAGCTGGGAATGGGCATGTCCTTTGCCCTAGTTGTGCTCATCTGCTTTACCTGGGTGGCAGCAGTGTCCACAACTTCCTTCACACCAGGACACACAGAAAGAACGCCTAGCACTCCGCCCAGGAGGAGGGGCTTGAGGGGACAGCCAGGGTGTGTCCCCGCCCACAGGGAAGGTGGTCATTCTTCTGGTAAGCCTAGAATTCGTCCACGCCCAGGAACTGGGCAGCCGGACCTTTCCCCACCTGCCTGACCTGGGAGCCCTCTGAGAGGCCTGATCCAAATGATGCCACTCCATGGACTTTCCCCTCTGTGCCTTTCCCTTCCGTGCCTGCTGTCCTTTCCTCTTGCGCTAACTGGTAGGCAGCCTGGCGTTCAGGCCCCCGTGGACGATAGCAGCCAGAGCTGGCTCCCCTCCCCTGTGCACTAGGGTCACCAGCTGCTCACCTGGCCCTCGGGCCTTCTGGGTTAATAACAGCAGCCTTCATGTTCTGAAGACCTTCCCACGGCTCACGTGAGTGCCAGCCACACTCAGCTGAGCATTAATGAGCACACTCCTGAGCCCAGCTCTGTTTGTGTGAACTGCCAGGCTTGGCAAGGGGCAGGTTTTAGTTCGTCCAGGCTTACACAATAAAGCATGACAAACTGGCTGTTTAAATGACAGACATTTACTTCTTGAGATTCTGGAGTTGGGAAGATCGAGAAGCAGATAGAAGCCCACTTTTGGGTATGGATGCTCTTGGGTATGGATACTTTCTCTGCCGAGTTCTCACATCATAGACCAGAAAACAGTCTGCCCTTATCTCTTCCTGCATGAGGACCCCACCCTTGTGACCGCATCTATACACGACGCCTCCCAAAGGCTCCCTCACACAGCCCTGCTTGCACCATTGTTGTTCAAGAGGACGGGGCACGTGATGGCCACTCTAGCAAGAGTGTTCTCGCTTCCTGTCCTGGCATTTGGGAAGGGCCCCTGGACGGCCCTTTTCTCATCTACCTTCCTTTGACACCTTGCCCACCCTCCTCTGGTCACCTGTTCTCCACTCTTTTCTCCCTTTTCATGAGGTGGCACCCTCTCTTTTTCACTGGAGCCAGCTGATTTTGTTGGGTTGACTCAGCACAACTCTGGTCAGAGTCTGAGAGAAAAATCCAGTCCAAGGAGGAAGGGGGTTGTGTGCTTGGTGGACCCCAGCCTGGGGACAGAATTAAGGGTTCTTCCACAGAGCTGGCTTTGAGGGAAAGGGTTTAAGAAAAAGTCAGTAGGAAAGTCAAGTCTTTACAACAAATCATTTGCGTCAGTCTCCCAGACACGTGAGACTCTGAGGACTTCCAGAACAGTCACAGAAGCTGAGTAGGAAGGAGTTTGGAGCGTGGGGCCCAGAGTCTCAGAGATAAGGAAGAAAAGAACCCCACAGACAAACTGGGGCAGGAGATTGTTCAGAAACAACCTGGTGGGCTGCTTTCTGCTCTAAAAAGGTGGTTCGGTGGGTCTGGAACGTTCTTCTGCCTTCTGACTTTCTGCCCAGTGAGCCCCTGCCCGCCTCCAGGTGGAAGGCAGTTCTGTGCAGCCTCACTCCACTTGTGTGGCGTGGGAGTGGGGTGGGGCCCTCTCCAGCTGGAAGAGCCCCTGGG